CCCTATCGGTATGGTATTACAGAAGTCTAGATCCTTAGGACGGGAGTTAAGTACCTCATTTAATTACTGTCACAAGCTAGTAACCCGGAACTCATGCTTCTGCTATGTTTCGTCATATGACTCCTATATAGATTGTGCGACACATTACTCACTGGCCGTCTTTATTTTCGTACTACTGGAGCGCTTGCTTCCATGCTTTTCGAGGTTTCTTTTAGCCGGTTTTCCTTGTTTTCTTGTGCCAGAGGTGTTCCATATTTGGTAAAGCCATTTTCTTACCACAGCCCCTTACTATGTTCACCGCTTCTCTCACCATTTCTGAATATATTGCATACAGCTGTCCTCCTAATCAAGATCCCAATGCCGCCTTAGGGTTGTTGGTGCTACCTTGCCAATCATGGATTCACACGCACAGCCTTCTGCAGTATTACCTTCTGTAACCCATATCACACGCAGTGCCCAATCTTCTCCATGGCTCGGGACTCCTTCCAAGAATTCTTTATCGGCCAAATATGTACTTCACATAGTCTTACTGCCACAGGGTTCTGCATTCAAAAGCCCCTAAAGGTTATAGAGATAATTAATTAAATTAATTACCACCAGCTATAATTGAACTGTTGACCTCGTCTGTAGAGGGTAAGGCACCTAGACCACTAGGCTACGTGACCCTAACCCTATTAATTTATTTTTTTTATTTTTTTATAATTTCTAAATAGCAGTAATAATAAAGATGTTTGCTCAAATATCAATTGCAAACAATATTTTAATATCATAATACTTGAGCACCAACACGATTATAAATTAATACATTGTGGAAAATACATAAGCATGTTTCAATTATATCATTATCTATACTATTGGTATTCAACATTATACTATTAGTTTTCAAAAATGGTCTAATTAATAATGCTATAATAATTGAATACTATTTCAATCTATAGCAAATAACATCAAATGTGCTGCTTGAGAACACCCCAAATCAACTAAACCAATCTAATCAAATCAAATTAGTTTGTATAAACTATTGTAATCCTAATACAATATAGCAATAGATGCTAATTAGTAATACTGAAAATAAAAGTTGCTAACAATTAGTAAATTTTTTGCTGCCGTTAATAGAAAGAAAGCAGATTGATATTTTTAGAAAAGTAATATCTTAAATTTTACAGCTTATATTTCAATAAATTTTAAGGCTATCTTAATAATTTAGTAGTTAAAAAAAAAACTTACGATCTAAGCCTTCTTTTAATATTAAATTATCAAGATAGCTTTAAGATTTATCAAAATATGAGCTATGAAAATTAAAGTATTAATTTTTTAAAAATGTTATTTCTATTGATGGCTATTTATATTATTGACTTTTATTCAAAATGATAAAATCACATCTAGGCTAATATTTAGAATATCCTAAATTAGAGCAAATAAAATAAAATTAAATAGTGAATATTCATAAACTTGAATAAATTATTTTAAACACTTATATTAATAAGTTTTCTTCATATTTATTAGAGTTTTGCAAATGCCTATGCTGGCACATGGGCACTATGCTAGGCACCAGTACTTTGTACCATGCCAGTGTCTATGAACAAAAATTGCTAACCAATTCTAGGCCGGCACCTTTGTACTATGCCCATGAAAGTACAAAGTAGGCATTTGCAAGTGCCCATGCCAGGCACTAATGCTATTAATAGTGCTAGTACCAATACCAGGAACATTAGTAGATAATCTTATAGCCAAGTAAATCGAAAGCAACATTTTTTCTCAATTGATTAAAGAATAATTGTAATGACATTTAAGCATTACAATCAATAGCAATATTTATAGAATTAAATGCTTGAGCATACTCTTTTTCTATTTTTCATGATTTTTATAATGCTATCTAAAACATCTAAAAAATCCAATAAAAAAATTCTGTTTAACCAACTGCTAAATCTTTAGCTTCGGTTATGGCCATTCTCAAGTATCCAAATTAATTAATTAAAGAATGATCGTAATGATATTCAAGTATCACAATCAATGGCGATATTTATAAAATTAAATGCTTGAGCATACTCTTTTTTTATTTTTTCATGATCTTCATTATGCCGCCTAAAACGTCTAAAAAATCTAATAAAAAAAATTCGACTGCCAAATCTTATATTAGTTTTTCCCTTTAATGATTTTACCAATATTAACCTTTGTTGCAACAGCAACAACTTATGGAATTGTTAACAAAAGTTGCTTTGAGGCAACATGAAGTAAAAAAAAATTTATTTATATAAGCGAAAAATAGAATAGCAGTGTTCATTACAGTATAGTTAAATGTTAAAAGATAGGTTGTATTAATTATATTTATATCAAGGTGCTGATTATTTGTTTTAAAAGCTTCAAGCATTAAAAATAAAGAGACTATTTTTTTAGACCGGTTAGAAATTTGTTGTGAATTTTGTTGTGAATTTAATATTTATTATAATATGATAAAATATAAAAGTAGTACTTGAGCAATCTTTATTAATGATAAATTTTTGGAGAAAAAAGGTAGGGTTATCTCATTGATTTGTTGATTGAATTGGTAACTCACTTGATTGATTTATTTAATTTCTAACTAATTAAAAATTTACATTTGATCTATTGAGTGAGATGCTTGAGAATAGCCTATATCGGCTTCTCCCTTTAATGATTTTACCAACATTAACATTTTGTTGTAACAGCAACAACTTATAGAATAATTAGCAAAAGTTGCTTTGCAGTAGCAACAAGAAGTAAAAAAAAAATTTATTAAGTTTATATGAGCAAAAAATAGAATAGCAGTATTAAAAAATGGGTTGTATTAATTATGTTCATATCAAGATGCCAAGCAAACTGATTCAGAAATTTCTGATATAGATACTTATAATCCTAATTACACCGGCAATGATTTTTCACCTTCTTAACAACCTTGACCAACCACAACTGAAGATTTAACTTTTCGGATTGACCATGTAATTCCAAACTATAATGGTAATGCTCATTATATCATTTTGTTGACTTCATTAGTGGTGGAAAGTACTAATATTCATTTTTTTTCTATACAGTCTAAACCAAAATTTGACCGGCTTCTGCAAGATGATAATTAGGTAATTATTCGAGATATCGAATTTGGTCTGGGTCTGTCCAGATTATTTGGTTGAGTATTAAAAATAAAGTGCCAATTTTTTATACCAATTAGAAATTTGTCATATTTATTATGTTTATTATATTTGATATGTTAAAATGTAAAAGTAGTGCTTGAGCGATCTTTATCAATAGTAAATTTTTGGAAAAAAAAGTGGTTTGTATCTCATTGATTTGTTGATCGAATTGGAGTGAAGTGCTTAAGAATGGCCTTAATTGCATGTTTTGCTTACCATATCCATCTTTATAACAAAGATGTATATAGCTAGCATGAAAAATCTATTTTAATTTGTCACCCTCTCCAAGTAGCAGGTCTAGGGTTCAAATCCCACGGACGACGAAAGTTTGAAAAATAGGCTTGCGTTA